AAAGTGACCTATAAAGACACAAATAGTTGAGGGAACTGAATGAAAAGAGCTCAAGACCTAAAGGTAAATAGAATCAATTGAAAAATACCAAACAGAGTGAAATATGAAAATGAAAAATTTAGAAACTCAAAGAAGAACCTGAGAGGCAATCCTCACCAACAGAATGTAAGAGATGGAAGAGAGAATCTCAGGCATTGAAGACACAATAGAAGAAATGGATCCCTCCATAGAAGAAAATGTTAAATATAAAATAATGCCAGTGTAAAACATCCAGGAAATCTGGAACACTATGAAGAGACCAAATCTAAAAATAATAGAAATAAAAGAAAGAGAAGAAACCCAGGTCAAAGGCTTAACTCAAAATTCTACTGGCCTTTCAAAGAAGAGTTGGTGCCAATAGTCCTAAAATTATTCCACAACATAGAAACAGAAGGAACATTGGCCAAATGTTTTATAGGCCCCCAGTTATACTGATAGCCAAACCACATAATGGCCCAACAATACATTTAAAATGACCAGCCTACCAAAAGCAATCTACAAATTTGGTGTAAAGCCATTAAAATTCCAATACAATTCTTTACATATCTTGAAAGGACAATTTTCAACTTCATATGGAAACAAACAAACAACAAAAAAGATAGCTAAAACAATCCTGACTATTAAAAAAATACTGGAGGTCACATCATCCCTAACTTCTGATCGTTCTACAAAGCTATAGTAATAAAAACAGCATAGTATTTGCAGAAAACAGACACCTTGATCAATGGAATATAATTGAAGACCCAGACATAAATGTATACACCTGCAGACACCTGATTTTCACAAAACAAACCAGAAATACACATGGAAAAAAGGAAAGCATCTTCAACAAATGGTGCTGATCAAACTGGATGGCTGCAAATAGATCCATACCTATCACCCGGCAAAAAACTCTACTTTAAATGGATCAAAGACCTCAATATAAAGCCAGATACACTGACTGAAGAAAAAATAGGTATTAGTGTTAATCTTCTGACCCGCCCCTTGAAATCCTTGGGGCTGTCCTACGTCTTGACATAAAAACCTCATTTTAAGGAAAAAATGCTCTCCTTCCTCTCCCTCTTCTGCTCTGTCTCTCTGTCTCTGTCTCTGTCTCTGTCTCTGTCTCTGTCTCTCTCTCTCTCTCTCTCTCTCTCTCTCTCCTCTCTCCAGGAGGCATGCACACCTCTGCTTTCTCTCCCTTCTCTTTCATTTTTCTCCCTCTTTCCTATCTTTCTCTTCATCTCTCTGTTATAATAAACTCTCCATGTGGATGCAGCAACCGGGTGTGAATGACTTTCCATGTGCCACTGCCCCCACTGCATCTGCCCAGTATATTTTCCCTCACACTTGGGATACCTTGGCCTGGTCAGCTGGGGGTTCTCCACTCGTGAAAATTCATAACAATTAGTCTTGAATTGCACAGGAAAAGATTTTCTAAATAGAACACTGTTAGCACAGGCACTAAGATCAACAATTAATAAATATGATGATCTAATGAAACTGAAAAAATGTCTCTAAGGCCAAGGACGCCATCATTAGGAAAAAGCAGCAGCCTATAGAATATGTAAAGGTTTTTTTGGTTTTTTTTGTTTTGCTTTTTTGTTTTTGTTTTTGTTTTGTTTTGTTTTACCAATTAGGCATTTGATAGAGAGCTAGTATCCAAAAGACATAAACTGCTCCTAAAACTGGATATCAAGAAAACAAACACCCAATTCAAAACTGGGATACAGATCTGAACAGAAATTCTTCAAAGAGGAAACTCAGATGGCCAAGAAACACTTAATAAAATGGTCAACACCCTCAGCCATCAGGGAAACGCAAATCAAAGCTACTTTGAGATTCCATCTTACATCTCTCAGAATGGCTAAGATCAATAAAACAAATGATAGCTCATTCTAGCAAGCTATGAGATAAGCAGAACACTTATACATTGCTTGTGGGAGTGCAAACTCATAGAGTCACTATGAAAATCAGTGTGGTGGTTCCTCAGGAAGATGAGAATTAATCTACCTTAGGATCCAACTATACCACTGTTGGGCATATATACTCAAAGGACGGTACCACAGAATCACTTGTTTAACCATGTTCGTTGCTGCTCTATTCATAATAGCCAGAAACTGGAAACAACCTAGAGTGCATCAACAGACAAATGGATAAAGGAAATGTGGTACATTTACACAGTGGAATCTTACTTGCTGTGAGTAAATGAAATCAGGAAGTTCTCAGGTAAATGGATGAACTAGGGAAAAAAATTATTTTGAGTGAGGTAAGCCAGACCCAGAAAGACAAGTATGGTATGCATTCACTTAGATGTGAATATTATCTGTTGAGCCAATGATAACTAAGCCATAATCCATGGAACCACAAAGGTTAGTTATAGAGTAAGGTACTAGTCAGGAAAGATAGATCTTCCTCAGGAAGAGAAATGGGATAGGTAGTTAAGAGTTGGGAGGATCAAGTAAAGAGAGAAGAGGGAACCAAAGAGGGAATATGAGAAGAGATAGCTAAAGTTAAAAGCCATTTGAGGGATAGTGTGAAAACCTAATTCAGTATACATTTCCTGAAATATACACATATATAAATGTGATTTAAATGAAATCACCTAATGATGGGAGAGAAAGAGCACCACTGGACATCTCTTGTCAACAAATGATGCTTCCATGACTGGGATTAGGTTACATCTAATTGAGTTGTTAACCAAAGGGGTTCTATAAAAATCCCCAAGCAACTCAGGCTTCTTGCCAAGACAATAGATTGCTTTCCACAAACTGGCTTAAGCCCCAGTTCCTGAAAACAACACCTCCAAAAGTCATTTAACATAGAGAAGCTAAGCTAGTCCCTACACAGAGCCTTCACCTCTATGTGCTAGCATCATTGGTACAGGAAGATATCCTGCAAACTCCTGAAAGAGAAACACAAACACCAGCCCAGCCACAGACCCTGTAATCACAATGGTGTGCTACCTGCATGATGTACTAGTGGCACAAAGTTTGTGGGAGTAACCACTCAGTGTCCAATTTGACTTCAGATACACTCCATGAGATGGAACTGGTGCTGAACATTGCTTGGATGGCTAAGAACCTAAGACGAGATAGCCCAGGGACTTCAAATAAAACCAAATACTAGAGTTCTTTAAAAAAATGTAGAAATACTCCTAATTATATTCTGCTCCACTCATAAATCAGTATCTTGCTCAGCCATCATCAAAGAAGCTTCCTCCTGTAGCAGATGGTAACAAATACAGAGAATTACAGCCAGCGTTATGCAGAGAGTGAGAGATCTTGGAACACTCATCCCTAAACAGGATGATATACCTCCATTAAACCCCCTGGAAAAGGAGGAGAAAGGACTCTAAGAGACAGGGAATGGAGAACAACAAGAAAACAAAACCTTCTAAACAGGAAAGGACCAGTATGCACATGACCTCACAGAGAGTCTGGCAGCATGCACAGGGCCTGCATGGGTCTGCATCAGAACTAGAAGGATCTTAGAGCTGAAAGTGGGCACATGCCTCAATCCCTAACCCAGAAGCAATCTCTACTTGATAACCTACAAATTAAAATTTAGTTTCTTCCCTGGAATACTCACTGGAAAAACAAACTACTCTTAAGGGTTGGTTGTATGCCCAGCTGTAAATGGCCAATAGAAAAGGACCTAAGCAGCATCTTTGGAGGTTCCTTGTCTCACAATGGCCTTGTCAGGGCTTTTATCTTATTTTTATTTTTATTTCATTGTATTTATATATTTTTTTCTCTCTTTTTACCTTACAGGTCCTTTGAATATATATTTTGGCTTCCACTTCAGTCTTTTATGAGATTACTGAGTGAGTGAACAAGTGGGTCTCTGTATCTATATCTGTTCCTTGTGCTTTTCCTTGGTTCTTTTCTTTCTGTTTGTTTTGTCTTATTTCCAAGTGTCAGTTTTTGTTTTGTTTTATTATATTATATTAAATCACATTATAATTATTTTCCCTTAGGTGGCTGTTTGTTTTCTAATGAGAGACAGAAATGGAGTGGATATGTATGGGAGAGGATGTGGGAGGGTGGGGAATGGTGAGGTGTTGAGGGAGGGCAAAGCTTAATCAGTATATCTTATGTGAGAAAAAAATCTATTTTCAATAAAATGGAAAAAAAGACAAAAAATTCTAAGAGCCATACACATTCTTAAAATAAAGCCAAAGAATTTTAGTTAATTTGATTTAAAATTGAAACAACAGTTATTTCTGGGCTGACAAGGACGAGTAAATCATAATTATTTGTGTGTATATTACCTTGATGTGATGCTACTTTGAAGTTTGACTTGATAGATGTCTGATGGTAGAACCTGCTCTTGTTATTTTGATAAATGATTTTGTCAAACTGTCTTCTCAGTATTGACACTTATACCCACATACTTCAGCTACATGCAACTCAAGAAGATATTTCATGCATATAACTTAAATATGTGCCTCCTCCAAATAACCTCTAGTTTCATCTTAATTGACCTCTAGTTTGAACTCTCTCTGTGCAACTTAGTATACATTTTTCAATTTATTCCAAGTGCAGATAATCTGAACTGCTCTTTCTTGAAATACAAGGACAAAGGTAGAGGTTTGACTACTCAATTTCAAAACTCAAAAGCAACCTACAATTATCAATGCAGTTTGATATTGATGTGAGAATAGAGAAGTATATCAATAAAGCAGAGAATGATCCACAAATAGTCCTGTATACTGTGATCAATATATTTTTGAAATAAGATTTTAAGGTAATATATTAAGGAGTCCTTAAGAAAAAATTCTTTGGCTACTGGGTATATAGTTGAAAATACTAAACTTTTACTAGTTTAACAATTATATTATGGATAAATATATATGGATAATATGGATCATAGACCAAATTATAAAGGCGGGATTCATCCACCTTTAAAAATCTTTCAGGCTCATGGCTTTGTTTATGAGTCAGATTGTATCCTCAGAATGAATATGCTCAAGTCCTCACCTCCAGTGAATGTTACTGTGTCTGACCACAGGATCTCTTCAGATTTAATCAGTCAAGCAAAAGGAGGTCATGTTGGAATACTGTAAGCTCTAATCCAGTATGAGTAGGGTCTTCATAAGATGACAAGATGGACACATGGGAGACTGTCATGAACATGGAGTCAGGAATGTCAGTAGACTGTAGCCCGGCAACCACAGAATCCAGGAGAGTGACAGAAAATGGGATATCTTTCAGAACCTTCAGAATCTAACCCTAGCAGCACCTGGGTTTTAAACTTTGAGCTTGCAGAACTGTGAGTGAATAAAGTTAGTTTTCTTTAAGCTACTCTGCTTGTAGAACTTTGTTACTACAGGTCAAAGAAATTAAGACATTTAGATAGGCAGAATATTCTTACACAGAATACTAAAAGCATCCATCATAAGAGAAAAAAAACAAATATTATGTTTGTTCATGTACTGCTGCCAGAGGACAAGTCTCCAGAGCTAGGAAGAGCTACTCTGAGTTGAACAGCTGCACAGTAAAAATAAATTGACAAAAATGATCATGTGGCAAGATGCTCACCACCATGGTTCATCAGCACATCAAATAGAAACCACAGTGAGGTAGGTTTTACACCCACCAGAGTCAGTGGTGTCAGATGCTGATGAGGATGGAAGCTGCCTGGATCTCTCATGCCACTATTGACGCAGAAAAGTGACAGGGATACAGCACTCTTCTTGCCCATGGAATGTTTCAAGGTATGCATGGGAGGTCTGCAGCCACGGAGAGAACCGAATCCTATACATTTGATATTTGTTTGTTTATTTTTTCCTATACATACAGACCTCTGACAAAATGTAATTTTATAAATTAGGCACAATAAATTTTTCACAACTAATGATAAAATAGAACAATTGTAGTAAGGTGCTGTGATAAAAAAGGTACGTTATTTCGGGTCCTCTCTCAAATCATCACATTGTTCTGCAGAGCTTTGGAACATGGGTATGATTAATAGTTCCTTCTTGAGAGTTTTTAACATTTTCCTTAAAGGAAGCACTTTACAAACTTGTCTATGGCATAAGCTAAATGTTTGTCATTGCTTCTCTTTGGCTCTGAGGTCATTATCAAGAAAAAAAATTAGAGTGTCTTAAACGTAAGTGTGGCAGTGCATAAGTGACTCATTGGTGGCTAGTGTGTGAAGCATGGACATGCTGGACAAAGGGATGATTCACATTCCTGGCAGCATGGAGCAGAGTGACCTGAGATTTCATCACACTACTCAGAATGCTACGCAATGTAAACCTTATAAACTGTTTGTTTCTGTAATTTTCCATGTAATAGTTTCTGGATGAAGAATGAGTGTCATGGAAGGTGGAGGACTCATAATATTTTGGAAAATACAGCAAATTATAAAACCAAAAGCATGCTCCCTGATGCAGTCATTTTGGTTCAAGAGAAATGAAAATATACATTATCAAAACTAGCTTTGTAGTCAAAGAAGCTCTATTCACCATTGTTAGAAAGCATACAAAACTTCATCATGCAGACTGGGTTTCATAAGCTGTGGTTTCTATTGATTTCTACACAATTTTGAAGGATAGCGGTCCAAGGTCAAGATGTCAGCTGAGTCATTTCTTCTGAGGACCTCTGTCCTAGAACTGAAGATGGCTGTCTTCTCCCTCTGTGTTCACATAGTGTTTCACCCCCTGAACCCTGTGTGTGTGTGTGTGTGTGTGTGTGTGTGTGTGTGTGTGTGTGTTCAAATTTCTTCTTTTTAAAAGAAAAATTTTCAATATTTTATTTTAACTTATATCTTTAAAGGCTCTATCTCTAAATACACTTACATTCTGAGGTTCTAGGTGATGGGACTCCAATTATTAAACCCATACCATAATCCAAGTGACCATGAAGCTCAGATTGGTAAATGAATTGTGGAACAGTCGTGACTATTAAAGTATGTGGATCAATTTTGCTGGGGTATGATGCCCATGAATTTGTTGACACATTAGTTTAGATACTACTATGAAAGTCTTTTAATGTTACTGAATTTACATTCCATTGAGTTTTTGTAAAGTATACTTACCTCTAAATGAATGGCCCTCATTCATTCAGTAGGAGACTTGCAAGAAAAATCTGAGGGTTCCCAAATAAAGCATAATTGCCCTGAAGAGGTCACAAATCATCCCTGAATTCGAAGTCCTCCTGCAATTCAGCAGCCTAAACTTTAACCTGAGCTTCCTATGTGTAGGACAGCCCTATGGATGCCAAGCTTTTCAGCCCCACAATCACAAGTCACTTGGAAGGAAGCTTGCAAACTCAATCCTATCACTGAATAATACTGAATGATATGGTCATGTAATGAAAAGTATTCCGTCTATCAAAGAACAGAATATTCTTAAACACAACTTAAATAAAACTGAATGTTTCTATATTGAGTAGAAAAAAATGTCAGACAGGAAAATACATATTCTATCCCTCAGTTTCCTTTAAGTCCAATCCAGGCAGAATTTACCTACATTGATAGGGACAAGAAGATTCCCATCATCTCGGATAGATGAGAAGGGCTGGATATAGACTAGAAACACACAGGAGAAAGAACCTTCTGGAGGATGGTGGGATAGTGCTATACCCTATTTGGGGTGGTAGTTAAATGAGGATGTGCCTTTGTCAAGGCTCAAAGAAGTGAGCAGCCCTTACTTATACATTTCATTCTTTAAAAACTGCAAATTTTAAAAACAGACTGAAAAATTGCAGATGCCTACAACATTAAATGACCTAAATATATTTATTTTAAATATGAGTTTTTATAAAAAAAATAAGCAACTCTCTGTAACTAAGTATTTTCATGATTGGTACAAAATCAGCTCCTACTTCTGCCTAGGGCTTTCATTCCTTGTCCTGACTGAAATGACTAACCGGTAGGGGGCATCCTTAAGTCATCAGCAGGCTGAGGCCATTTCTAAACAGGTGTCTTCAGCTGGGGTAAATTCAACACCCCTAACCAGGTTTAATGTAAGTAAATAGTCGAGTCACAGTTGCTAATGATGTTTTTAACCAATGGTTGCAGTTAAAACTTAGCATATTCAGGATAGCTATATACTAATTAATTTATTTCCCAGTTGAATTATAAATTCCTCAAAAGCTAAGGCTATGTGTCCCCATAAAGATTTGAGATGGACTACATAGACAGATTTGCCAATTTTATTTGTGAATGAGTACACTTTTTGTTTTGTCTTCCCTGGAAAATGTCAATTCTCTCTATCCCCAAGGGATATCCAAGACTATACCTCTAAATTAATCCATGATTTAACCTCAGGTTTCTAGATGCATTTTATTTACCTTATTGTGATGTTTTCCTGGGGAAAATGACAGTATTTATTTAAAAATATAAATTCCAAAAAATAAAAAAATTAAATATATATATATATATATACATGCATATATCAAGAGAAAGACAGTGATAGAAAATAAGTATGAATAAAAAACACAGAGAAATGGGCAAAAGAAAGGCAGCAGAAGAAAGAGAATGGTGTAGAAATGGCAAGTTCATAAAGCCATAAATTTAAAAAGACCTTGGGGGCCAGAGAGATGCTCAGTAGTGAAGAGCACTTACTGCTCTTCCAGAAGATGTGAGTAGGTTCCCAGCCCCATGTCAAGTGCTCAAAACAACCTGAAACTCCAGCTCCAAGGGATCTTATACCCTCTTCTCGCTTCAACAGGCATCTGTACGAACACAGAACACACACACACATACACACACACACACACACACACACACACACACACACACACACACACAAATCTTAAATAAATAAAAGACTTAAATTTATACTCCAAAATCTTGGGTATAAGCAATGTCATCTCTGAATGACTTAAAACTTGATAAAAATCTTGATTATTTTATTGATATTATTGATTCTATATATCAAAGATATATATAGTCATTAAATAAATTTCTAATTTAAGTTTCAAAATGAAAAAAAAGTCAAGAACATAGCAGATCAGTAATCTGTCAAATCATACTACCTTTATAGCTTATTCCATGTTCTTTCCAGATTGGAGTTTGTATTTCTCCAATCACAACATTTAATTGTCTGTATTGTTGAAGGATTACAGTTCTTCTTGAGGAATTGTATGTCTGAACAGACCTCCTAATCCCTCTAGACTACTTTTCAATGTGTTTTAATGGAGGACCAAATATCATGATCACTCCTAGATCCACAATTTTTCACCCATAAATACTGAGGCAAAAAATCTAATGAGAATTATGTCTTAAGTTGTTTTACTTGATTAACAGAAGGTATCTTTTATAGTCACTAAAGAAAGAATACAATCTGGAAGAAAATTGGGACTTCCAGAGTTTGTACATCCACGTTCTTTGAGAACACATAGAAAACTTTTACATATGAAATAATTCCTTTTTCTATCACTCTCCATAGCTTAAACTCATTAATGTAAAATCCCCTTTGCTGTCACTGTATTATCAGTTTGTCACATGCTGCCTGGGAAATAATATTCAGGTGCTATTACTCTCAGTAAACAAATGAAAAATGGCATGGAATTTAAATAATGATCTAGTGATTTCCCTGGAGGGGAAACCATGGGTTTATAAATAGAAGTATAACATTAGATTTAGAGGAATTACTATCTATAATTTCAGTTTGGGTTTCACTAATGAGGATTCCTGGACTTGTATGTGATAGAGATGCTTGAGAAAGCTTTGATAAAATATTCAAAATGTTTTGCCAAATAGATCCTCAAATATATTAGGTTTCCATTAGTTGCTGTTCAGTTACCAATAAGAAAGAAATGAAAGAAGAAAAAAATCTAAGAGAGGAAATTGAAAATATTGATACATGTTTCCTTAGGGTTAGAAAGGATGAGGCACCTCTATAGTATGAAGTAAATAAAAAATTGATACTTTTTCATGGCACATTTCAAAGTTACAGAAGCCAGTCTTATACTAGGTTAACAGGTTAGTAATTTTTAAAGTGTGTTTTTAATTGAAATAGATTCAATTTCCCTATCCTTCAGCTCTCCCCAAGTTCCTTCCTTCCAACTTCCATGTCTCTCTCACTTTCAAGTCGATAGCCTCTTTTGCTATAGTATTATTACACAGATACATATACAAATAAAAATAAAAACAAATCTTAAATAGAAGACTTTATTCTTCAAAATTTGGGGGACAATCATTGAGCTCTCT